CAGCCCAAACACATTTTTTCCTCAGGCAATTCTGCCTATCTGTTATTACCAGCTTGGGCTTCTGAGCCTCATTGGACCTAAACTAGTCTTGACTATATTTAGTTGAAACTGTCTTCTCAGCTTACGCTTTCCAACAGCTTCCTTCCTTCCTAGCTGTCCTCATCCCAGCTGCAAGTGCTGGTTTCTCTTGCTAAGCCCTTTCCACTAGTGATTTCTGCTAACTGCTTCTTCCTCTGTTCACTCACATTACCAACCTGCTGCTCTTGCACTGTGTGACCGTAACAGCTTCCCAGGGCAAGAAGAGTAATATGCAGATGCCTTTGCCAGGTTAACTTTCCTTCTTTATCTTCACACATGATGTCAGTAAGCATTAGATTAGGTCCCTGCCTAGCCCAGGCCCTCCAGATATAGTTGGGTTGCTCCAGTAAGAGTATTTCATCCAAATTTGTAACTTTCTTTAAAACAGAATAGTACCAAAGGAAATGCAAATGAAACCTGTTTAGGTTAACCACTGTGTTAATTCTCTTTATACTTCTTTACTCCTAACTAGATATCCCTTGTCATCTGGATTGACATTTTGTGAGACATTTGTAGAGCTCTTTTTAACCCTGATTTAAAAATAAACGTGTACAACTTCATTTCAAATGTGGCCTTTCATATAGCAGCACTGGTACAGGAAAACAGAAGGTAACCCAAAGTGCAGGAGCTGCCTTGTGTGGCTGTTTGTAACAAATGAGATCCTCATATAGTAACTTTCCCAGAAAAAAAAAATAAAAAATTGCTTGAAACAGCAAAATTTTTCCATATTTATATGTTTCCAAAATAATCCCAGGCTGATGAAAGAATGCTGCTCTAGAAAATCAGCTGTCTGGCTGGAATAGCATGTGACGCTATTGGCACTTAAATAGATTTATTCATATTTGAAGGCACCTGTTTTGTGTATACATTCCAACTGCATTGTGGGGAGCTCTCAGCTTCAGGTCTAGGTCTTCTTTCCTGACCAGCCACATCACCTAAATATTGGTGTGTGTACTCTGGCTCCATTTTGGCATGTCTGTTGTCCCTCTGGGTGATGAAAGCTGAATGCAGAAGAACAGGACATAAGTATTTGCGTCCAATTCCAGGTACAATTCTGATGCATTTACATTATGCCAATATTCAGCTTGCTGGCTAGCCAAAGGTACCTGAGCAAATCTCTAAGCTTTCCACACTATTCATACCTTCCCTCAGAACTAAAATATTCAACTTTGTGCTATCATTGCTATCCCAGAACAGACTGCAAAGAAACCTTCTCATTTCATACATCACTCACAATACCATATATTTAGAGAAGAGTTAAAAGAATATGGGTTAGAGTCAAGTAAATGTTTGCAAAGAGCATGTCTGAGTTCGTAATTTTACTGCTAAATAAATTTCTTGACAATTAGGAAATTAATTTGTGAGGGATGACTGTGTTCACAGCTCTGATTCATAGAGGAACGGAGAAGACAAATAAAAAGTAAATAAACTTAAGATGCTGGAATACATACCATGCCCAACCCATCTGGTCTGTTGTTACTACATTAATGAAAGAAGATGCTTGACATGGAATTCACAGCTGATCTTCCTGTTGCTCACAGTCAGCTCAGGTGCTCTTACAGAGGCTTATTTGAAAATCCATAGACTGATTTTACTATCCATATGGACTGAATTAGATTGTCCAGGGTCTATGTTCCAAACTATCTTCAGCTGCTATATTACCATCTTTATTAAAACAACTGATGAAGCTGATGATTCTTATATTTGAATTGCTAGAAGACTGAGTACAAATGAAGATGCTAGAAGACTCATAAACTGCGACTAAGGGCCCAACAGTTTTATTTAGGAAACATCTGCTGTCTGACACTCTGCTCTACTTGGGTATTTGTTCAGGCAGATGTACCACAGCTGTATAGAGAGAAACCTTCTGGAACTGTCTTGCATTACAACTTAGCACAATCTTTCTCAGAAGAAACCTCAGGCTAATCAGATATGAGCACTGTACTTCCTCCAGGAGATAGCGATGGTCTAGCACAGCAGATAAATTTTAATCTAATACTGTAACAGCTCAGATCATTGGCTACTGCTGACTGCGTATAGCAAACCTGCCCAATCCATAAACTCCTCTTCCATATGGCCATATTGCCTCTCATCTAGCAGAAAGACCGAAAGACTGGCTTCTCCTCACTTTATGGAACTCACAAAACTTTATTCTCTTCTGTGTTAGTCTATTCTTTGTGCTGGTCACATGGGTATATTTCAGAGAAATGCAGTTTCTCTCAGGCTCTTAAATAACCAGAAAGGGTTCATATACCATCTATTTTCCAAATAATACTTCTGCAACTGGTTCTTCAAAACAAGGTTTCCAATCATTTTCTATTTTAGCCTACCTATGCCCCTGCATTGAAATGGACCTAAGGGAAGGATTATTCACACTGATGCGGAGTCACCACATCTGCCCAAGTAGGAATAGTAAAAAAGGTGGTGAGAAAGTTCTTGGGACACAAGCTCCCAATCTCTCTTCCATCCCAAGTAATAAGCCTGATTCTGGACTTGTTTCAGTTTTCTTGTTGCAGCAGTCTGGGTGCCCTGCATACAACAAGTCATTTGTGGAAACTGCAAATGTGACTGGCACAGGCAGTAGGTGAGGCCCCTGGATACAGAGGCAAATGTGATGTGCATGAGCAAGGGGACAAGAGGAGTCAAGCTGGTGATGGATATGGCATCTCATTGTGGAGGAAAGAAAAGGTCACCAAAATAGTCATTCCACCTAAGATTGTCCCTTCTGAAGTGTGTGCTGCCTGACTGACAAACTTCACATTCAAGTTGGTTTTAAGAAGGGCAGTGACCTGCCTAAAGGTCTTTTACAATACCAGTGCTAAAGGGCAATTTAAAAGGTGTTCAAATAGAGAGTATTGCCAGATGAAAAGTATTTGGATAATGCTGTTCTGAAGTTCAGTGTGGATCTTGAAATCTTTTTTCTACTTACTTCGTGTTTTGTCTTCTTAATTTTCAAAATTTCATCAAACACCTAAGTGTACTTAAAAAGTGCTAGGAAATTACCACAGAAAATTGGTACAGGTATCCTGCTTGTTAAAGCAGATCCAAATGAAATATAATGTGATCTTTTTAAAGTAAAAAGATGCTAGATCCTCACCAGAAACATGTTATTTTATACTCTGTGTCTATCCTTCCTCTTCAGTTGTAGTTCTGTCGTTGAGTACAGCAAGAATAAAAGCCACTCTGCTACTATGATCTCAAGGAGCTACAATGCAAGAGGCACGAAAATTCTATTCCTTATTATTGCTTCACTTTCTCATCTCCAGCTAGCTGGTTGTACACTCTATGTACATTAACAAATATTTATCCAACAGGCAACTCTTGCTAAAATGGAGAGATTTTGAAGGGTGAAAAGGAAGGGTTACCCATAATCCAGAGTAACCTCTCCCAGTACTGCCAGCATTTCATCCTGCTCTCAAGTGAAGATTTGCTTGGTCATAGGCTTTCAACAGCAGTCCAAATTGTTGTTATTGTTATTGCTTTTAAGGTAAACAACTCTCTTAGTGCCTGGACTGACACTATGTTTAGGTGAGGATGAAAGAATAGGTCTTGTCTCATCTTATACTCCCCCTCAAGAGCATTCCGTGCTTCATTACCAGCTACTTTGCAAGGCTCCTTCTGGCAACAGGAGCTCCCGTCAGGGAGTCCAAAACTTACTGCCTGGTTCCACAGGCACAATTTTCCTGGCACTGCTTCTTCATAAATTGTCCAACTAGGAATGCACTTATGGAGGAACAAGCAGCACAATTTGCAGAATTAAGCTAGTTTTCTTTTCTTGGTTAAATGTCTCCAAATTGAATGATGTCTTAACCTTAGAATAGAGTGTGATTTAGGTGATACAGTCTTACCATTTTAGCTATAAATTGATTCAGGAAAGCTATGTGTATATGTATATATATATATATACATATATATACACACATATATACAAACATGTACATCAGCTGCTGTTAAACACTGATGCAAACTAAGAACATATAAATCAGATAAAAGATACCGAGTTTCCAAATGAACGTTTATATGTAGTTTTAGCAAGTACAAAAACCAAATTATTTAAACTGGTAGAACTCTTATTTACAGAAAGCACTTACACATGTAAAGAAGATACATGAAGTCTGTTGTCAACATAACAGTTATGATATTTAAAATACTGATCAAAGTTTTACACAGAATCATTTTTGTTCAGATTTTATTCTGTCACCAGAACATCGCCTGCTAAGTAACAAGGAAGACAAAGACTGAAAAAAGAACTAATAGAAAATAAGCAGGGTGATTCCACCTTTCCTAAAGTATGCTGGCAGCTGTCTTCATTGGAAATTATTGTCAATATGCATTTCAAGGTATGAAACACAAAATACTACAGAGCCTTCAAATAACTTCAGGAAGCCTTCCCTTAAATAGCACAAAAAACATAAAGCAATTTTCATAAAGCCCAATTATAACATAGAATAATAAAATCATACAACACCCTGAATTGGCAGAGACCCACAAATACCACTGAGTCCCGCTCTGGGCTCCACACAGCACCACCAACAGATCAAACCCTGTTTCTCTGTGTTGCCCAAACGCTCCCTGAGCTCCGGCACTGTGTTCCCTGCCCACAGCCCTGTGCAGCCCATCCCATGCCCTCCGCCCTGTGGTGCAGAGCCTTTCCCAGACCCCCAGCTGCCCTCCCCTGACACAGCTCCATGCCGTTTCCTCTTACATTATGTCACTCAAGCCTGCACGTGGTGCTCAAGCTGGGGCTGCAAAGCACAGGGCAGAATGGGACAATCCCTTCCTTCACCCAGCCGGCAATGCTGGGCACGATGAGCATGAGTGGCCATCCGTAGAGAATTGATTTCTAAGTAGAGGCTAATTGAAAATGTCGAGCTGGGTCACCAGTTTGGCATTGATTTTTTTTTTTTTTTTTTTTTAAAAAAAAAGCAAAGAAACTAAAGAAGTTTATTTTCCATGTGCATTTTGCTGGCTAAACTTTATAAGAGGGTTATTTACCTTTAAAAACTACTATATCTTACATCTACAAAGATCCAGCCTCAACAAATACTTGCATACATATTTAATATAACGTGAAGACAATTGGGCTGTTTGTATGCCTACTGCTGAGTGTGTATCTTAGCATTTCCAGCATGTAAGCATTCATCAGTGGAAAATAATTTCTTATGAATTTTACAGATCTTCTTTCATTATTGTTTGGGAAAGGTGTTATGTTGCTCATCTGAGGATACTCTTCTAATTGTGGTTCCACCATAGCAGCAAATAGAAGCACTAGCAAGGCATGAATTTAGATAACAAGAAAGCTAAATAATCCTGTATAGTTTCAGTAGCTTATTATCCAGTTGCATCTGCAAGAAAAAAAAAAAAGGAAAAATCACTGTTTATTCTGTCACATCCTAATGCAAGCTTTATAATCCTCATAAGGTTTGAAGACATGCTAACCATTTGAATTTCCAGTTTAATAGTACGAGCCACGGTAGTCAAATTTCTCTTCTACTTCCTTCAGTATTCTGGGGAGAAGACAGAAACTGAGAGAATATTTTTGCGCAGGTTAATCATATGAGAACTTTGAGGCAGGCTGACTATTAGCTGACTGCTAACTATACAAATGAAGAAGAATTTGGCCCTAGGATATTTGCAAGTTTTTCATTTTTTAAAATAAACTTTAAAGTTTAACATTAAGTTTAGCATTAGCTAAAGTTTTGCAGTTTTGCCTTTTTTTTGCCTGAAGTTCCAATTGTCAAAGACTCATTACCATTTTGGATTAACTTAAAATGTTGACAGCAGAACAGCATTTGTGTTCTAGAAGAAAATGGAAGTGCTTGCAATATTCTGAGAAGTTCTTCGCTGCTTTTGAAAACACTACATGATCTTACATAGAACAAAACTGGAGTTAATGAGGTGTCTTCCAAAACAGATCATTACCTAGCCATTACAGCTGTCTAAGAGCAATGCATTTCTTCACTGTTCCAAGAAGAAAATTGAATAAAAATGAAGACATTTAAAATCCAGCACTGTCTAGAACATATTAAATTACATAGAGTCAGGAGTGCTCCCACACTTTTCAGAATGTTATTATCTCAAAATAATTTAAGGAAAAATTTTTATACAAACTCAGTGCAATAATTCAAAAGTTTGTGTTCATTAATTTTCAAATCTAGAACAAATTGAGGTGTGCAGACTGTTGTGTTTTTGTTTTTGTTTTTTTCCAGCTTCATGATATCAAGATGATAATTTGAGTAACTTTTCAGATGCTACAAAACCCAAGATTTCTGCTGAGATTCACCCAAATCTCCTTAAGGAGATTTCATCATTGGCCTTGTAGTTACACAAAATAAATAGCTCTTCAATTAGCATTCATTTTAAATTCCTCTTTTTCAGGTTACTATGAAAAACGGTAATACTCACTCTAAAAGGTCATCTCCTTTGCTGCACTCTAACATTTAAAACAAAATATGAAATTTTGACGCAAGTGAAGTCAATGGAAAACCACTGATTTTAAATCACAGGGTTTGGTGTTTTTTTTTGTTTGTTTGTTTGCTTCTAAATGAGTAAGGAAATATATGTATAGTTTTATTTATTATTAACCCACACTTCTGTTATCTTAATCCTTAAAATCCACTTTGGCTTGATCCTGTACACAATATTTCAAAATTTTACTTTGTACTATTACTACCATAATTTTTATTGCCTCATGATTTTTGTTCCTTCCATTTATTTTTGAACCCATGACCATAAAATACTATCTTTCATCTCTTCTATACATCTAGAAAAAAAATGTAACAGTGGAATGATAAAAGCTATTTTTATAAAGCCTAGCTTCTTTTCTCAATATATAATTTAGAAAATCTTGCATGAGAAGTGTGTTCTCAATTTATGCAAAACTGTTCTGCCAATTGTTTTCTGCAGAGTTTTCTTTTTTATTTTATTTGATGCATGGTACAAAGGTGATACAAACCTCGTAATTTATCAGAGTTATTTAGTCTTAAATAAATGAAAGAAAGAGTGTGAGGAGGAGTAAAATTATGGCACACTGTTTTCCCTGTGGTCGGCATTTACCCATATTCACCCCTGAGCTAAAAGTAAATCCTTTTACTGTTCTGTAAATTAAATAGGAAAAATTATTCATTTGCACTAGCAAGTATCAGGAGCTTTTCTTGAGCTTTCTGAATTATTTTCAAGGAAAAACCTTGTGTCCACTTGACATGGAATGTAACACATTTCTGTGCATACATCCTTCCAAGGGCTACTACAAAAACTCTTTGTCATTCTTAAAAGTCCACATATTAAAAGTGTGAGTATGACTGAGAGAATTGAAAGTGCTGTGTAATCTCTATCCGTATAAATATTTATATATTCATATACACTTCTAATTAAGAAAGTGGAAGAATTCTTGTACTAAAGTGGGTTTTACATGAAGGCTGGCAGATATGATTCCACGGTTCTATGATATTTTCCAGTCACTGCTGATTGTCTGCCAGAAAATAGAAAAAGGAGACAGGGAAAATTGCTAGTGGAGAGGAGAATGAGAAATTATAACAATAATATGTATTTTTTAGATCCAGGTGATGTTCAGCACAATTGAATGTCTTTTTTTGAGGGGGGAAGGGGTGGGTAGAATTAATGGGTGCTAGTTATAGAGCAGTAAGAAAAAGCACAGGTCACATAATTTTAATTTCAATGCATCAGCTTCTGCTGTGAAAAAAGCATTTGATGTTGCTGTATCAATGTGTTTAAACTTGAGAACTGCTCAACTTTCTTATACTTCTTTTGTTGTCAAGGTTAGACTCGGCTGTTTTGCCTTCATTGCACTAGCTATTTCTACATTAAAATTATAAAAGAACAAGCTGAATTCATAATTTTCTGTGCAAAACAGTACTTTGAGGATTGAGAAGGACCCAGTTATGCTGAAGAGGTAACAATGCCATGAATGAAAAACCAAAACATTTTTCTTAAGAGGGAGTGTGTGGGTGGAAATTCCTAGTACTACCTACTTTCCTAATAGAGAAAGGAATACCTTTCCTTTAGAGAAAGGAAAGCAAGTTTTTTTAATGAACTGCCTATATATCACGACTGATTTAAATAATGACAACTATGTGTTTATGCTATATTATCATATTTTGCAGATGTTCAAAGCTATGAGTAAGCCTTTGAGTGCTAAAAAATGGGAATGATTATGAGGACCGAAGAACTTTTATATGTCTCTCCCCTCAGTGCTATCCATGGATATTCTTTGAACAAGTTTTAGCAAGAGCTTCAAAACTGAATCCCTATGGTTTATTCTTTTTTTTCCAGGAGACAAGTGGCAGATTTTCACAGTGAAGCCAGAGCAAATAACAAAGGCTTCTCTTACATTTGTAAACACATTTAATTTAATTTTATTTTTTTTTTAACATTTTAAAGAAAGAAAGAAGCAAGAAAAGGACTTTATGGAACCAGCCAATACATATAAAGTAGGTGAGCTCTCCTAATTATAATTGATACAGTACATGCATATATTTTCAAGTTGACCTTTATGTAACTCTATATGCTGTTCAATATTGCAGTCGTATATATATTGTAATCTTGACTATCAGAATTCTCATATATCGATTCTTCAGCTTCTGTTAATAAAAGATGGGCAGGCAGTTTTAGGGAACTATGTAAGCTTCAGTTGGGCAGGATACCTCTTCTGTCAGACATATGCACAGACATAAGAAGAATTTCCCTCAGCTCTTGGTCCAGGCTACAAAGAGGAATCTGTTTTTCCCTTTATGTTCTCAGGTATCCCAAAAGAAAAAGAAATAACACTGCTGAAGAGCCTGTGTTTGATATGCAGCATTACGTGTTAACATACAGTATATATATATATATATGACAGCGGAAAAGGGGAAGTTTCACTTGAAGTATGCATAAAAATTTTACATATTATGAAACTGTATGTAAATAAGAGTGCACATTTCATGCTGATATACTGCAGGTAAACACTTTTATTAAGATTTACCTACAAGCTATTGCGTCAGTTAAATTGAATCAACATATTGGAAATGAAATTTGGAAAGTCTTCCCATGCAAAGGCGATTTGAGAAATTTCACCACACATTTTGTACAGTTAAATAATCGGCACCTTTTAGGCCAAACAAACAAGTTAACATACTCTTTCTTAGCTCTGCCATTTTAAAGGCACTTCAAAAATGCGGACAAGCCTTTCTGCAACCCAAGAGTATGCAAGTTACCATGTGATCAGTCAGAGAGGCATGGTAATATTGCTAAGATCTGGAAGGAGCTATATGAATAACAAGGTAGACAAGCTATATGCAGATCAGAGAGACATCTGCATAAGTACTGAGGGAACTGGATAGACTGAAGCTGCGGGAGTTACTTCATTTTGTGAAGTGTCTATTGCTGCTGGAGCCAGCAGGGATCCCCACAGTGGTGCAAAAATAGTGCGGGATGAACATGCAGGAGAAGAGGCCGACAGCAGGAATAACCACAATTAGGTTCAGCCTGCAATTAGACTGGTTTAGCACAAAATGAAACTGCAGAACTATACGACTCTCATTACAGCACTGTCTCAAACCTTCAAGTGCTCGAAGCATAAATGTTCTTGGAGCTCCCATGAAGTAGGGAGAACTTATTTCTGCTTCATCAGAGAAAAACTGTAACACAGAGCAGTACCTTCTCCTCAGTGTCAGCAAAGCTTATAGGAGCCCACTAAAATACAGCCTAGCCAAGTATCTGCAAGCACTACTATTGCTAATGTGGCCTTTACTGATACAGGTCATATTATCTCCTCAAACAAAATAATACCTACCAGCCGAATTTACTGTTTCTGGCCTAGATTAAGACTTCTGCTAACATTAAAAACATACTTGAAGAAATGTATAAATTCTAACCAATGTTAAGGTGTGGTTTCATAGCCACCTGGTGCTCATTTAAGGATCTGCCTCACCTGTGTATCGCACTCCCACCCTTCCCCTTATGCTCTGTGTACATATTCCCAATGACATCCCTTGTGTCTCACCAAGTAATTTCAGACCAGACTGTAAGTGAAACAATTTCATAGAATTAGTCATCCTTGGGGTCATCTTTCCCCTAGACTGCTTCATGCCAGAAAGAAGACAGCAATAGGGGAGAGTATCCAAGGAGGCTGGGAGAGTGGATTGTGTTTTTCAGAAGCAGTACAAGTTTAAGTAATCATAAAACCATCACATAACAGCACTGTTATTTTAGCAGTACAAAGTGTTTGGATCAAGCAACCCTTATTCTTCTGAATATAGCAATTGACAAGTATAATCGATACACTTTGACTTCTCCTCCAGAGAAATAAAATATCTTGTGCAAGGTCCCACAGGATGCGTGTGGAAGAGCTGCATGCGGAGCAGAAATCTTGTGAGTTTAATTGTTGTGATATATATCCTGCAGAAAGCTTACACTTCTTCTGTTATAAAATGTTTATCACCCCGTATTTCAGTATCTGAGGACTTTTTTGTCATCTTTTTAGAATGTTCATCTCCGAGCAAAGATATTTGTAATAAATACTACAGAT